GGCTCGGGGCTCGGGCACCGCGACCGCCCGGACGCGGCTCTTCCCTCAACTTGGAGCGCTTCTTGCAGCTTCATCCCCTTAAAATCCAAACAGAAAATATCCCAAACCATTATACAATAAGAGCAGTCTCGCACAATTAACTGTGCTACCGGCGAATTTAAAGTAATAAACAGAATTCTGCACAGAAAATCCTCAAATCCTTTATTGAAAGGCAAGAGGCAGCAGCCTACTCAGCCACACCATCCCCTGCGAGCCACACGGCTCCACCCTCCCACTATAAACGAGAAGAAACGTGAGGTTTCTGAATGCTGTATTTCCAAACTACAGCTTGTCTCCAAAATATTCACATTTTCTGACAAAGAGAACAGTGGTTAAAGTATTTGTACAAGAATAAAACACAAGTCATAATGCCCTAGCACATTTTAAAAAAAACACAACAAAACACCACCAAAAAAAGCAGCTCCTGCCCAGCAGAGGCAGGTACTGGAGCAATGGTGACCTCCGTGACACCAAGCTCTGCTCCCCGACCACAGCAGGGGTCTCCTCCTGCTCCCAGTGCTTATTCAGAGCTCTTTTATCAGCTTGTTTTCTCAGCACCGTTTTGTGAAGTTACCCAGTGGTCAACTGCAGTCACTGTTTCAGAGCAAAATAAACACTGAGGTCTCTTCTCTGAAAATATTTGGAAAATTCCTTTCAAGCATGTGCCACATTTTCCTCCCTTATGCAGGTTTTCAAACTACTGCTGTGCATCTCTCTTTTGCTTTGGTTTTGAAGAAGAAGTGACTTGGAACCATGTAAAACCCCACCCTTCCCCTCCTGCTTATTCCTAAGGCCTCACGTGTGAAAACAGCACAAAGTTTCAGTTCTGAGCATATTTTACTGAAAACCCCTGACAAAAACAGGGACTTAACAAATGCAAACAGCCCTGGAATGGCAGCAGCAATAGAGTGTCCTACCACACTGTTTTTGACAGCTCTAACAGTATAAATTAGCTGAATTTCCAGTCTTGGAAACCTTAGGGCCCACTAGCATAATCAAGACCAAGACGCAGGAATCCATCATGAAGACCACAGTGCCAGGGTTCCAGTCAGCTCAGTTTTCAGGTGCTGCAGATGCTTCAATTCTTAGCTAAGTGGTTCAGGGAGTTCGAGGAAGTCAAGTTCTCCTGGCTTTCTGGAGTTTTCAAGGACGCCTCTGAGCTTCTGTGATCTTCCTGATGAGGAACTGCTTGTCACGGCTCTCCTGAAAAGACAGAACAAAACCCACGTCCTAGATGAACAGAGGCAGTGCAAGTTATCTGTGAAGAGCTCATTTCTTTATTATAAATAGCACCACATTGTACCCTAATTAGTAGCTCCCAGCACACTCTCAGCTGCCTGAACAATTTTAATTTTACGATAGTCTTGACTTCCTTTACCTCATGTTGGGTCACGTATCAACAGTCCTGTGTGGAGCCCAGCAAGAACACCTCACACACCTAAAAACTTGACACCATACTTCCAAGAAGCCTAACAACAGTGAACAAACAAAACCAAAAAGCACACAAGGATTTTCAGAGCTCCTAACTGATCTGGGAACCCTTGAAGAAGCAGCAAGGCTTTTGCTCCTACACTCCTTACTCTTCACCCCTCTCCAGCAGTGTTTTTCTAAGGATGGGTTGTTCAATCCGTATGTAAAAGAAGCACATCCCAAGAAATGGGCTGTGTCCTAAGAAAGTGGGGAGTCCTACTAGAGAGGTTAAGCTCTGACTAGAGCAGTTTGACAACCACAGTATGTGAACACTGTCCAACAGGGCAGCAGCATTTGATGGCCACAAAGAAGCAGGTCTGCACTAGAACTGTTCCCCAACACTAGTTAGTGGTGACTCACTCCACTTGGAGTTGCTTTTTTAAGTGGTGCTGGGATCTGAGCTCAGGAGTAAGACCAGAGAGGATGCAGTAGGAACATAGGCCTGGAGGGAAGGTCTTTTTGAGGGCAGAGAATGAAATAGAGGTGGGGGCTGTGTAAAATGGTGGAGGGGGCAGGAAGCACAAGATTCAGATTCTTGTTTGGCAAAAGAGAAACATACAGTTGGGTGGATTTAAGCAAGACAACAGATGAAGAACAGGGCCACGGCTTCTCAGAGAAGTATCTCATGCACGTGTGTTGCCTGATATAACCAGACCTTGCTGCAGATGCAGCTCAGAGCTGAGCAAACCAAACAGAATGAGAAAAACTACAGTGCTTCTGTTATTCTTCCTGTGTAATTTGTAAAACACTATTCATTGCCTGTGCTAACACCAAATATCCAGAAGATTATGGAAACTCCTCTGCATGCCTGACTACTGACACAACAAAGAAAATTTCAGGGGTACAGAAAAATGGGTCAAATCTTACCATAACCAGTTGTTCCCTCAGCTGCTCAATTACTCGTTTGTGTGCTCCAGCCAAGGCAATAAAATAGAACATAATGAGGCTGCAAACAAACCAACATTACATATTAGCATCATTCAAAACAGAATTGGTCAGGAAAAGACTGTTATGGGCTATGCAGGGTGTTGCTCCTCAGAAATTAAGTTTAATGAGGTTTCACTGGAGTAACTCTAGCTCCTTTGGGGTTTTTAACTATGGCAAGCAGCCACAGATCAGTATTGCTGCCATTCCTTATAGCAAATATTCCAGATGTAATCTGTGACCCAGGTTATCCACAGAGCATTAAATGATGAAGAGCAGTAGCAAAAATTAGAATGGCATAAATGCCTATATAATGTATTTTATTTTCCAAATAATAATAGGGCAGCAAGTCATCCTCCACCTCTTACACAGACTTCATGATAAAAGTAAGAGAAAAAGAAACCTTAACCAAAAAGGAGGATTTGATATTTCTTGTGGTACCAATAAGAGGTTCAGTTCAGGAGAACACTTAAAAGCATTAAGGAAGAAAGGGCTTGCAACACTAACTTGCAGAATGCTGCGCAGTTCATGCTTTTGATAAAGTCTGGGATATGGGACATGCAAGATGAAATGGAATAAAAATAATTAGTGTGAACACATGGACACAGACAAAAGAGCTGAGGATTCACATGAGCTTTGATGCTTTTGACTGCAAATGGAAAATCTGGTCTAATGGTTGTTTGGACTCAGTTCAGTAAGGGAGGAAATGAACCATGCAGCTGCCTGACTGAACCAGGTCTCCACAGTACTCACCAAATTACCATAAAAAAAGGCACTGCAAAGGCTTCTGAAGCTATGCCATAAAGGACCTGTTGCAGACCTGTTGGAAACTCAAGTAGTGTAGCTGGTACCACTGCCCATGAAGTGTTAAAATTCCTGAATGGCCCACATGCCTTGGAGGAGGGAATACTGTCAAAGAAGCAGAATAGAAAGGACTTTTTACCAAAATGTAAAGATAAAATAATCCAACCCAAGCCCAGAACCATTTTTGCCAATGGGGTAAAAGTGTCCTTTGTTGTCTTTAAACTGTAATTTTTGTTTATGTGAACCAAGTTTTATATTATTTATTATACACTACGTATTTCTCTCCGATTTATCATCCTCCAAAGTTGTGCATCTGTTTTCAGGGAACTGACAACCTTAGAACAAAGGTCAGCTTCGTGGAATTGTCACTTACTGTGCTATACTGATTCCCAAAGGAAAAAAAGCCAGGATGAGCCCAATCAACAGCACTACCAAGAAGAAAAAATTGGAACTTGATGCTCTGACAGGCCTAGCTGCAGGTTTACGTGTGTGTATCAAACTGATCTGAAGAAGAAAAGTGAACAAGACTGTTACAAGTACACCTATATACATATATCCAAGTATACATTTCCCTCCAACTGAGTTTTCCACTCTCAAATATGCTACCAGCTACCACACAACCATCCTTCCTTTGATGTACATTGACTGAAAAGGGCTAAGAACACTTTACATTCTGGTATAAATTCTGGTGATTCTGCCCCTCTGCTGTTACGAGACCTCACCTGGAGTTCTGTGTACAGCTCTGGAGCCCCCAGCACAGGAGAGACATGGAGCTGTTGGAGAGGGTCCAGAGAAGGGCTGTGAAGATGATCAAAGGGCTGGAGCAGCTCTGCTATGAAGACAGGCTGTGAGTTGGGGGTGTTCAGCCTGGAGAAGAGAAGGCTCCAGGGAGACCTTATAGCTCCTAGACCTTCTAGGGCCTACAGGAAAGCTGGGTTGGGGCTTTTCAGCAGAGAAGGCAGTGATAGGACAAGGGGTAATGGTTTTAAACTGGAAGAGGGGAGATTTAGGTTGGATGTCAGGAAGAAATTCTTCACCATGAGGGTAGTAAGGTGCTGGAACAGGTTGCCCAGGGAGGTTGTGGAAGCGCCCTCCCTGGAGGTGTTCAAGGCCAGGTTGGATGAGGCTTCATTCAACTTGGTCTGGTGGGAGGTGTCCCTGCTCATCGTGGGGGAATTGGGACCTGATGATCCTTAAGGTCCCTTCCAACCTTAACCATTTTATGATTCTGTGATTCTGTAAGTCAATGTTTCCTGTTTTGAGTGAGAATTTGATCCAGAGGGCCCCATGTGCTGGCACAGAGTCAACTGACAGAATCATTTAGCTAGGATCCTTCAGCTCTGTTCAGCCACACCTTCCGTGGATACATTCCCTCTTGTAAGAACTATCATATCAGTAAGACTTTGATGCCCAAAGGGAGCTGTGTGGGCACAGAGCAGACCTTCTGATACACAGAAATCACATCTCAGACATCCAACTCAGCTTGGTTTTTCCACTTTGTTTCCAAATTTTTAGCAGCTTGGCAAAGTTTTGTCCAAGTTCTAAGCTGTGTTGCTGGTAAATTGCAGGAAAGTGTTATAAACTAGCTTTATCACATACAAATATTTTATTAAAAAATAAACCGATTTTGTTTGTTTACCACATACCTTTTTAACATAAAAGATGATGAAGTACTTTATAGTTGCTATTGCAGGGAGAAGTGGTGAAAAGAAGGTTCCAATCCAGCAGACAGTCTGCCCATTAATGATTTCTAGGACATTGTCAGAAATTCCAAATTCCTGCAATCCACACCACTTAAATGGCTTGAAAGAACAATAAGTAACTAACAACCTAAAACCAAAGAATATAATTAGTTCTAAATTGAAGTTACAGAGCTTAACTGAATCCTAACTCATCTGGAATACAAATATTTAGCATTTAAGCATTACACAATGTAACAGAAAAATGTCTGAAGAAAAAAAAAAGATTTTAATATCAAAAACTATACAGCCATATGAATAGCAAAGAAGTGCTCAAACCACCAGAAATACGTTTATGTTGTATTTTAGAACTGGTGATCTGCTTAGAAATACAGGGAATTAATAATAGAAAAAAAAAAAAGAAAAGAAAATCTGTTTCATATGTAATTTGCCAAAGTGGGCTCAAAAGGCAGAAATACTTACTTTCTAGGGAAGTCCACAAAAAGGGTCACAGCAACAACTGTAATTAAATCAAATATCACCAGTTTATACATTTCTTGCCCAACATCAGATTCCCAACACTATAAAAACAAGTCAGGAAAAACAAGATTAGGAGTGTAAAAATAACACGTAAAAACTAAATCCGTCAATCACTGAAGTAACAAATGCCTCAGTCAGTTAACAACATAAAGTTCAAATTGTATTAACTCCCATTTCTAAAATATTTAAATGTTTCAGAGTTTCCATGCCAAGCTGTTTGTTTGTCTATTTGGGTGGGTTTTTTTTGTTTGGTTTGTTGTTATTTTTCTTTGAGGAAAGTCCATTTGTCTTATTGGAACAAAAAAGGCAGTAACAATTGTTTGCAAAACAGATCTACCTCAAATAATCTTTGTGGCAGTCAGAAAGTCTCTGTACAGTGATAATTTGCCACTGGACTAATTCTAATCAGAGTTTTAGACAAGGAGAAGATACATGTAAGATCTGTACTGGTTTGCAGGGAGCAGTAAGAATCAGCATCAGGTACAACATGCACAGCAACCGCAGGTTTGATTCTGAATACCTCTAGACAAACAAGTCTCATGGAAAACAAATCTCTATTCACAAGTGCAGATGATTAAAGACCACGATAAATCTGCTTACTGGATAGAGTTTGTAATTGTATCCACAGGCCCTACACTTGTCACTGTCACAGTAGGAGATCTGACTCCACAGCGAGAACAAGAGAACGCCGACACTGGCCAAGCGCAAGAAGACACACCTGCAAGAAAGGCAAAACCCAATTCCAAACCTGCCCAAAAAGAGCTCTTCTAACACCTGGTTCAACTTGCACAGGAGTCCAAGAAAGGCTTTAACACAGAAGGGTCATACAGAACTTGAGTGGAACAGCCAGCTAGATAATAAACACGTTTCCTACCTTACTAAGCAGTTAAATTTTGCCTTCCCTGCTTTACGCTCCAGTCTCTTGTTTCTCTGCTCCTGTATCAGTCATTTCAGCTGCAGATCCTGCTGCCACAATGGGCTGTGATTCTCTCAGGTACAGTTAGAGAGGCCAGGTGATAACTGTGTGTAGCATTTGCCTCTCAGGTGCCTTCAGAGGCACTTAGCCAAACGTGAAATACAAAGCACAAGGGCTTGAGAGGGTTCAGATGCTTCACCACAGATTTCACTGCCCTAAGATGCCAAACAGTAGTTCTTGGTATTTCTACCCCAAAACTTTTAACTTCTCCCTTGCGCAAAGCTGTGCTTCAGTCACTTCTGTACACACACACTGGCTCATTCAAGGACCTGCTGCACACAAAGCAGTGTGAATCCACAGCTCTGCAGCCACAACTCCTCTGACTATTCATTCAAGCTGTTGAAGATCTCCAGACCACACAGATAAATGGAACCGAGAGAAAAACTCGGATGCTGAAATGACTGCCCTGTACTGTCATCAAAGGAGATTGTTTCCAGATTTAAAACTAAAGGTTCCAGTAAACATAAGACAGACAATGCCTTGGCTACAGTGCTCAGGCCTTTCAGTGAGCAACTCTCTGCTTGATACTTCAATGTTTACAATACTTATAACCTACCAAGAATGAGATGCTGAAACATCTAAGACCATAATAAAAACATATATACCTTATAAGTGCCAGCCTGATTTCAAAGGCTGGTGAATAATCTTCAAATCTGATCAGAAGTGAGAAGATCTGAGGAGCAATTAAGTTGGCCAATGTGATCACAATGGAAGGCAAATACTGCACTAGGAGATTAGTCTGGGAGTTCATATTGCTGACATCCTGTAAAAGAGATGAAAGATAATACAAAACACATCTTCCTGACATCATGCTCTCTTCAGCTAACCCCCAGCCTCCCTTTCCCAGGATCTAGGTTACTCTGTCTTCAATCACCATGTTTATTTGGAGCCTTCCTGCTGCTATGTATCTCTACTATCTCTACAGTTTGCTGTGGCACACCCTTGATTTCTCCTGCTCCCTTCACCAGTAACTCCACCCACCTCCAGGTACGAGTATTTCTGTGCCTCCTCAAATCTCCTCTTTGAAGAGGCTTATCTCACCTAGACTCATGTCTGACTACATTGGCTAATCCAGCACTAAGGTATCAGCTTCTACAGCTATGTCCAAGTGTAGACACTTTTGAAGTTGTTCTGCTTCTGGACTGCTCTTTCCATATGCTTGTCCTGCCAGGGGTGGACAACTCCACACAACCTGATTCTTGCCACTACTGATGCAAGAACTTTTTCTTCTGCAAAGTGCTCTGTGTTCAAAGCCTTCCTGTTTCCCCACACAGCCATACCTCAAGCCACAATACAGACCATAATCTTTACTCTTCCCTTCCCTTGCTGTTATTTTTTGCAGTTCAGCAGTGAAATAGATCAAGAAAGCGATCATGATTAGTTTGTTTTAACAAGATCAGTTCCCTCAGCCAGTTAACCGCCCAGACACACAACCTCTTGTGCTAGCACATCACAGTGAGGTGAGAACAGTTACATGGGAAGGAAATGAGGGCTGCTTCTTGTCAGCTGCATTACCTCCAAGGCACACAACACCAAAGCCTCTGCATCAAAGGGAGACATCACTGGTAGATCTTTGCACGTGGCTCTTGCTCACTCCCTCCTACTAAAAAATTCTAAGTCTGTAGAAAGTGTTTACAGATCCCTTGCATGAAAGGTGCTATATTAAGACACTTGACTCTTGCACAATAGTTCCTCTTGCTGCAATCACCAGCCCCAATTAAAGTTGTCCTAATATAATCTCTGATACTTACATTGGAGTTTTCCTGAGAGTAGACAGTTGCTTTATAAATAGAGTAAGAGCATCCTGATAAAACTGCAATGACAATTATATTGATAAATATTCTCAGAGAGTAAATGCGCAGCTTCTCTCTCGTTGTCCTCTCAGCTATTTTTCGCTTCAGCCTTTCCTCCTCCAAGTCTGTCTACAAACAAAAAAACAATGTGTAGCTTTCTGGTGCAGCATTCAATACCTGACACCATGTCTTGTACCTCTAGGACATACAAATGCACAGCATTTTTTAGGAGAGTCACTCCATGGCCTGCCCAAGCACACTGAACTGACAGTGTCTTTTCACTGCCACAGACAGGTCCGTGCAGGAATGGAAGCTCCTGTGTGCTCAGTCTCCTCAGGCTAAGGGCCCTGCTGGCAAAGACAAGTGCCTCATAATCCTCTTATCTTTACTGTGTGAGTAACACATCTCCCTGAAGACAGAAAGACAACCTGCCTGTTTACTGTGAAAGACTGATCTCTGATAGCTTGGCACTAAACTCTGAAATGGGTAAATCAATCCACTCATCTCCTTACTCCTGCACAGCAGTACCCAGTCCTCACTGCTCTGGCTTGAGCCTCCTTCTTGTACTCTTTGTGAAGAAAATTGGGGGGTGGCACATAGAGAAAGAAGTACATTCTTGAGAAGCATGTCATGTAAATTTGACATCTTCACCTCAGCTGATGTGAAAACACAGTACTGCCTGTGAAGGCAATTTAACCTGGCCAAACCCACAGATTACTCAGGTATTTAAAGAGAATTTATTTTCATCCAGCAATAATGTTAAGGGGAAAGTTCTTCTAAGGTGTGAGTTCTAGGGGGAAAGTGGAGGCAGCTCTCATTAAATAATGAAAAAAGATGGCTATGAACTTTACTAGAGCAGCAGGCAACTCACTGTAATTTATGAAATCTGTAATTACTGCTTTGTGGTTTGAAGTGGAAGTACCTTTTCAAAGGTAATTGTTTCACTACACAATCTCTGCTTCCAGTGTGCAGAAAATAAAAAGAAGGTTCTGTTTTCATCAGGAAAGACTTTCAGACTCACTTTTCAGAGAGGTTTATTATTTGGGAAATCTGTTCTCTGCATCAGCATTCTGTACACGCATGTGTGTAAACTGACACCTAGTGAAAACTTTCAGTATCTTGTTACTACAACAGTGCTCTCAAATTGTATGAAGAGTACCACCTGAATTTTATTCCTCCCCAAACTCCTGCCTACCACATTGCAGACTGATAACCCAGAATTCTGAAAAAGTTTCCAACAGTACAAATGTTTTGTGCATGGTTAGGATAGCTTTTCCTGGTAGATTATGTAGAAACTAACACAGGAAGCAGGACTGCAGTGTGAGGAAGAGGCAGATAAGACAAGCAGTTAACAGGATGGCTGCAGTCCCCCGTGGATGGGGGAAGGGCTGTCAGCCAAACCCTCTCACATTCCACCACAGTTCTAGCTACCTAGAAAGAATGCAACAGGATGTGGGTTGTCCTGTCTCCAGTATAAACTACTTCAGTTCATCCTGTCTTTATTCTATTATTCTCAAAAGTATACACCTCTCTTTTTTAGCCATCTAAGCTATATGAAACTGTAATCATAGAAAAATGAAAGTTACTCACTTGGAGTTCATACTGCAAGCTGTGATGTTTCAGCTGTGCTGCATTTGGATCTGTAATGCAGAAATCCCAGCCTGCAAAGACTTTGTTACAGTAACTCTGAAATTGGTCTTCATCATGCACCAAGTTCTGCTTAAACCCTGACACAGACCTAGAGAAAAATGCAACTTTACTTCACTCATTAAAAGACATTTTATCCACAGAAAAAGAAACAAAACCCCACACCACAAGCAACCTGGTTCATCAAAGACTAAATTACCCCCCATGAGCAAACAGCCACATTTGCTTTACATCAGCAAGTCTCTGGGAGGCTTCAGTGTGAGGTTCTGCAAAACAGTCAGCTGAAGCCATGACTGACACAGGTTACTGGCCTCTGCACTTCACCAGTCATATGTTCTCTGAAACTGCAAAGAGCTGGCTCAGGAAGCTGACATGGCAAAAAAACCCCACTCAAAAAACCCAAAATAAAATCCTCCAACAACTACTGTTGAGAGTCCCTTCTTTATATGTATGCATACATACATACGGAAAAGCAGTAATTCAAATGTATTTATTTTTATTTATGTTGCTGGCTGTTTTCCAAACACAGACAAAGACTATGCTGGCACTTCACCCTCAAGCAAAAGATTCTCCATTTCCATATAAAACAGTTCTAGAATGTAGCACACTTCTTACAAGCAAGCATGCAATATAAACTGTACAACAGGTAGCAATAAATTAACTATATCAACATCTTTACCTTTTTATTATCCAGAGAAAACTTAATGCAAGGTAGGCAAACGTAGCCAGCAGATAAGCCAGTGGCAAATTGTACCTCATGATACTGATCTGTGCAGCATCTATTGTGTAATAGCCATAAAACAAACTTGTCACTTCAAGGAACCCCTGTGAAAACATGAAGTTGAAATGGAATTTGTAACAGTAGCAGCAACTGTCCAGTTAAATCCAACCTGGTATCAATCATCTTAGAAATGTGTAAGTTCCTACTGGGGCTCCCAGCAAGCTACAACAGTCTAGCTTCTGAATACTGCCATTGCCTCTACTAAACTGTGACACAGATGCTATGTGCTTAAAGTCCCTCCTCTCTGCAATCAAAGAGCTCTGTGACAAGGACACTGAGACCCTACACAGAGAGCACAATAAGCAGTGTGCTACAGAATATGCAATGCTTAGCAGCTGGGGAGGTACAGGCTGCAGCACGAAGCCACCAAGCCTTGTGGACACTCAGTAATAGGCAGTTTGAAAACTCACCCTCTCACAGATAAATGAGAAAGGCAACTTTTACCCCAGCAGATGCATATGCCTTATCGTTTTTCAAAATTTTTTAAGCTTCATTCTCCAAGTAAGGTGTTTTCACATTTAACCTCTTAAATGAGACACAGAAACTTAATTAAAAAGCAAACACCTAATTACTTACAGTGCCACTGAGCAAATCTTTGAGGTAAGTATAGAAGTAAACAAGTCCCTTATTGCCACTAGGTTCATAGACTGTACAGTGAGGCTCTGTCAAAAGGAAGGCAGGAAAAGTCACTCTAAAAGTAATGTCCATTAAACTGCAAGATCAAGTTAATTCAAACTTGCCAAGTTCCTATAAAAAATCAAACCAAACAATTTATTTGTTCTAGGAGGTGGAGGAGAAGCTGACAGAAAGAGGAAATCTTATAAACAGCAGTAGATAGAGATGTTTACCTATGTTCTTTGGAGGAATTTTAGCAATGCTACTGTTGAATACTTCATATTTAGAAATGATGCTGGGAAGGGTAACAAAACTGAACATCAGCAGAAAAATTATAAAATTCAGCAGGACCAGAAAACGCAGGAAGAAGAAGTAGGACTGGATGCCAGTACCAAATTTCCCTGGGAATAAAAGAAACATATGTCAATATTTAAGATGATTAAATCATTGAAAACACAGAATGAGCAGATTATAATTTCAGCTACATTGAGTTAACTGACAAAACATTACTAAAGCTAGTTTTAACTACTGCAGGCTTTTAGCAATATAGCTGAGATGGAAATATGACTTTTTAATAATTTTCTCCAACATACTTCCTTCTACCCCATCATGGATTTTACATAAGCAATAATAAAGGAAGCAGGTAACTTCTTTTACAGTTATATCTGAAACTACACTCACACATGTGAAACTACCAATAACAGCTTGAAAGAGGAGAAATTGATCCAAAGCAGTAAATACCCTCTATGCTGTGAATATCATGTCGCCAAAGCTTCAGGTAAGATGACAACTCCTTGATTTCACTGAAGACTCTTCTCAATGATTTACTGCTAGCTCTTTTCCACCGTTTCCATCTAGATAAATATTTTGTCTCTGCCTGCTGACAGTCCCTAAGAATCACAAAATACAGTTACTGATCACACAAAATACTTTTTCACTGCACAGAACAGGGCTTAGCACAAGGGAGCCTCCCAGCCTCCTGAGGAACAGAGCAGTGCTAAAGGCTGGAGCAACACACCAGCTGTCCCAACATGTTCCTCCTGGTAAACGCAACATCAAGTTGATTAAAATACATCGAGTCTTCTCACAAAATCCAGTTGGCAATAGCACAACACATTAAAAAAATGCAGTTGAACTTGCCAGTGGGATCTCAGGAAAGCTGCCATTAATTATTTTATATTTACAAATGGCTGGAAAAGGAAGAGAAGGTTCTTTCCTCAAAAGTTCTAACCAGAGCATCTCCATCAAGAGACTCTTAAGAAAATTCTCTAAAATACCTACCCTTCCCTTTTCAATGTTAGAAATGCAGCTGCTCAAAACAGATTTTTATATATTTTTTAGACAATTCACAGATCTCAAAATCAGAATGAAATACCAAAATAGGACACACACTGTGCTAGAGTAGAAGACAAAAGTTTCGATTTTAAAAGACTTTGTAGACAACCCTACTTATGTGCAGAAGTGACTCACTGCCACCCCATGCCACTGCTGTGTGTTGACTGTTTCTACATCCTTCTCAGCTGAAATGCAAATTTGCATATCAGCAGGAAGCCGAATGAAACCCAACAGGCAACAATGAGGCAGTAGTTACCTCATCTTTCAGTGTAGGTACAGCTACTCTCAAAATACTTCATTTTGTGGAAACTACAGGCTGCAGCATGCAGGGTTTTAAGCAGCCACTTTGGAGAACTGTCTGGCCCGTGTCTGCTCTGCATTTAGATAGAGGCGTGGGCTGCAAACTCTGTTACAGAAGGTCACTATGCAGCTTTCAGATTTATTACATCAAGCACTTTGTGTTGGCAGCTGCTGCACAACACGCAGAGGCTGCTGATCTGTGGAAGTGCCAAGAAGCCCCACCAGAATCCCACAGTGCTCCGATGTGTAAACACAAGCTTAGAACATCCCAGCTCCGTTCCTGACACACACCCCTGCCACAGGCCCGCAGTTCCTCTTCCTTGAAGAAATGAGCTCTAGACACACAACTTCAAATAACAATCTAATGTATCAAGCACTTTTCTTTACCATAAACTAGATCTGCTGTCCCTTGTGTACAGCCTGCAGGGTTAAACTAAACTCCAGGGCCAGGCTGTAACCTGCTTCCCATCACTTTTGCAAGTGTTCTTGTTCTCTCCAGGACATCAGACATGAATTGTACTTTCACCTCTCTCCTGGTTCATAACCACAACCACACAGTACGTGATTTAAAGGTGCAGCTTGTTCCCTGACAATGCAAAAACACATACTGTATTCTCTCTCCTCCAAGGAACCTGCAGCCTCGCAGTAAGACATGAGACAACAAGCAGGGAAATAAGAGCAGGGAAAAACATGCTCTTTGCAATCCCCTCCCTGCCGCGGTCACCGCCAGAGGGGCAGGAACTTCTCACGGCAAAGAGCAATTTTCAAAGAGATACGAGGGGGAAAAAAAGAAAAAAAAAAATAGCCCTAAGAAGCTTCTTTCCACCACAGCAGGCTGCGCACAAGGTGTTTTGGAGGAACTGCTGAGAAGGCACAAGAAAAGCAGCACTGGCACCGCAGAAAGGGGTTGCTATGACAGATAACCCAAGATAACCCACAGTGATCTCTGAGAGCACACAACTCTGAGGCAAAAAAACCCCGAACAACACCAGTGAGAAACGTGTTTAGACGCTGCAGGGAATTCCTGGCTTTGCCTAGTTCGTTCCAATTCAATCTCTTCTTCCCTGCAGTCCCCACTCCCTCACGCCCACCAGGAGCCCCTGCAGCTGGAGGTGCCTTGTGCAGCCTCCGGCACCGGGGCAGGAGAACCGGGACCGCTTCTCGTCAGAGCCCCTCGCCCCGGCCGGGAACAGCGGCAG